CTGCCCAACTGAGTGCTGTGTCTTGTTTGCCCAACTCTGCAGTAAATGATTCACCAGCACCACACACACTCCCACTGTGAGCACCTAAACTTTCCCAGCAGTTGCCACAGGCAGAGCTTAGTCATATCCATCGTACACAACAGGAAGTAAGCCTGAAGCATGTGAGAACTTTTTTCTCTTGTCAAAATGCTTTGGTCCCTTCATCTCATTTCCAAAGAGATGAAAATACCAGCCCACAGTTTTCCTTGAACACTGAAAGAAAGGAGACTGTGCTTTCCAGAAATGCCTCAACCCTGTGACTTTTCCTCTCTCCAGCGTGCCAGCCCACAGCTCCTGCCAAGCCCCCACACACCCTGGCAAGTGGGTCCCTGCTCTGAGCTGCTGCTGCTGCTCCTCCTGCTCATGGTTAACCCAGCTTCTGCTGACTCATCACTTGCCTGACCTTCACCTGGAGCGTGGTAATATGTACCAGTCAGGTACCACTCCTCCTTGCAGAGCTGCTTCCCCCTGGGTAGTTTCCATAATTTAAAGGGAGGCGTTCACAGAGGCAGTAAAACCAGGTGCTCACAAGTTCACAGTGGTGCAGAGAATTGCTAGGGGCTCAGGAAAAACAGGAAATTGTAGGAATTTTCTCCTACCATCTGTATCTGACCTCTTACCAAAAACCTCTTGGGGTGATTTTGGTGTGGTTTTCTTCTTCAGTTTCCTTCTGTCTTGGGGCTTTCTGTATTCTCCTATAGGCAAGGCTGGTTATTTATTGCTGGAAGCCACTCCAGAACCCTGGCACACCACCTTGCTGAGGGTGGAGGTTGTCCAGTCGCTGATTCAAGCAGGGTCACCGAGACCCATTGCCCAGGGCCTTCAGGGTGCTCTTTGACCCTTGGAAAAGGCCTTGAGGAGGCTGCAGCCCCAGCTGAGAAACCAGGGCAGGAGACACCTCCTGTGAACTGCAGGACCCACAGATGTCCACTGAGCCTGATCATTCCCATCATCTCTGCAGCCCAAACTTGCACTGAAAATAGCTGACAGACCCAGCTCTGCTGGCAAGAGACAAGAAAATTCTGCCTCTTTAGGCCCTTCACTCATAAACCGATATTAGACAATATATCGTAGAGGGATAGCGCTTTCCTTAAGGGACTCTGGGCTACATGGTGATCCCAGCACAGCCTCCCCAGGGCCTGGGGCCAGACACGTGGGTCTTCCTTGCCCAGGGTGGACTGAGCACTCATAGGCACTAGTGACACCCCAGCCTGAAACAGTGCTCTCCCCTGGAGCCAGACCTCCAGGGCACAGGTGAGTTGAGCTCACCGCTCTGGCCTCTGACCCCATGGTGTAGCCAGGGAGCAGGGAGATGCCACGAAAGCAGCAAAATAGCCTGACTCCAACCACATCCCAATGCATCAGCTGATGGAAAGCATGAGCAGCCTGATGCAGCGGGCTGAGGTTCTTCTGGCTGCTGTGTGCTGAAGGTGCCCATACAAGTGTGACAGAGTGGCCCTGGTACCAGGTCTTTGTCCCAATTGGTTCCCCTCCTTTGGGCACCAAGATGCCATATGGACCCAGGCTCTCCTAGGCAGAGACAGGTGAGGGACAAGGGGGCACCCAGGTGGAGGTTGTTTAGGCTGCCAGCTTGGGAAGTGCCAACACATCATGTCCAGCAGGGAATAGAGGGACTTATGGGTGCATGGCAGAGTCCACAGGAGCCCTCAGAGGTCTCCCCTGGGTCTGCAAGCTGCTTGAACCTCAGCTCCGGTGTGAAGTAACTGAACCATCCTTTTGCTCATTCCAACTCTTATTTTGGCTTTCAATCTTTACAAGAGATTTCCTCACATGAAGTTTTTTCCCTGCTCTTCCTTCCGTGTCCAGAGCCATGGATTCCCTGGATGCCCTACTGCTCAGGATGGACACATGTTCCTCTTTTCTTCCACAAAGCTGTAAGTTCCAGCTTAGAGCAGTGGAAAGCAGAGAGGCTTATATGCAGTGCTGCAGCAATTCCTTATGTAATACCATCCTGGGAGCCCCACATGAAGGGCAGTGTCCCATGGTGGTCGTTGAGCCACTGGTGTTTACATGCCAGACCTGGCTGGGGACACTTGAGGCTCTGCATGGGGACATAAGTAGGATGTGGCCAGCAGCATGCATGGTACATGCACACAGGGGAGCCAGCACTGCCAGCTGGCTGGGGCAAAGGACAAGGCTGGACATGTGGACAGTGAGGGGTGTGTCAGCACTGACACATGGATGAGGCCCTAGGTCTGGCAGCCACTCACACAGTCTGGACATCCAGTCCCCGCCTGTAGGATGTACCCATGGGAGGCATCACGCTGGTGCCCATGCTGGCCTGGGGGGTGCAAAAGGAGAAGGAACGAGCCCTGCCATGAGGCAGAGTTCAGGGCAGATAAATTCTCTCTTTTCTTCTCCTTCAGCCCAAGTCAGGTCCAGTCCTGACCACCTCAGCAGCCTCCACTGGCCTCACTCCAGTATGAGATCATCCTTGTTCTGGGAAGCCCCAAATGGAACATGGCATGCAGAGAAGGCAGGGAAGAATTGCTTCATCAGCCCATTCCTGCGCTCCTGCTGACCCAGCCTGGGATCTGCCAGCCACCCTCGCCACACGGACTGTGACTGCAGGCATCTCTGTCAGAGCTCAGTGCTCCCACTCTGTAAGCTCAGCAGTGCCCTGAGCCCTTGGCGGCTCAGCCCTGTGCTGGCGTTGTCTGCAGCCTTGAGCCGTGTCAGTGCAGTTGGGCACAGGGCTGGCAGTGCTGCCACCAGGGCGGGTAGCCCAGGGCTCAGCCCAAAGCCCCAGCTGTCCGTCCGGACCACCAGCCTCATACCAGCAGCCAGCAGCAGGGCAGTAGCCTCATGGTTACATAGCGGGGAGTTCTGTGGCAGGGAGCCAGCCCTGTCCCCTGCTGGCTGCTTGGGCGGTGAAGGTCGGAGCACCAGGGATCCCTGCTTATCCCCTGTTATCTTCCAGACTAACCCAAACTGCGTCCTGAGTCCCTGACACACTCACACACTTGGCAGCCAAGGCTGCACTGTACTGTTCCATAGATCCCTCCCCGTGGGGTCCCATGGAGCTGTGAATACAGCCCGGGCATGGGGCAGTCCTGGGGGTGAGGGGGCACAACTCACACATGGGGCAACCCCGCAGCCACTAAGGGTGCAGGGGACAGGACAGGAGCACAGTACAGTGTGGCAGAGCCCATGGCAGGAGGGCTCTGTAGATCATCCCCATGGGCTGGTGGAAAAATGGTCCTCCTGGGGCTGGGGTACCCCTGAGCAGAGCCCTTCCCAAGTGCTAGCATGCCAGCCCCCATCCTGCTAGCCCTCATCTAGCTGGATGAAAACAGCCCCCGGGATGTAAACGTCCTTCCACAAGACATGGGAGACCTTTGAGACACCTGGAGCAATGTCACAGGTGGCACACAGTCTTATCACTGCCACAAGGTGGACTCTGCCCTCTCTGCAGTGCATGCTCTCAGGGAAATCCTGATAAGGCGAGATAAGCCATCACTGCTGAGCCCTATCTATCAGCCTCTGGTGTCCCCGGGTTAGGGTTAGGGCTCATGGGGCTCCACAAACTGCCCCTCCTGACCCCGCCAGCCTGCAGAACCCCAGTAGTGCAGAGCATCAGCCTGGACACAGACATGGCCCTGGAAGGAAGAGCCATACAAGTGAAATCATGGTGGTCCTTCCTTCCTTGCTTCCGTCCTTCTTTCCTTCCATCCTTCCTTCTGTCTTTTTCTTTCCAGCCCCCTCTCCCTTTTGGCAGAGAGGTGCAGCTGGACTCCAGTGGGCCCATTCTCCAGAGCAGGGCTGGCATGCCTCTGGGACGGAAGATGGGGGTTCCCAGACTCACTGGCCACGCTGAGATCTGTCCCACAGCCCAGCTACCATACTGGGGTATTTCCAGGGGAGAGAGATCCCAGTTCCCAGGTGCATATTGTACAGCATCGGTTGGGCCACCAGTTGGAAAGCAGCTCTGCAGGGATGGACCTTGGGATTCTGCTGGGCACCAGCTGAGCAGGAGCCAGGGATATGTCCTCACAGCAGCAGCCCCAGCTGCACTGGGCAGAGCCAGGCAGGGAGCACCAGCAGGAAGCTGTGCTGCTCCAGCTGGGATCACCCAGACAAAGCACAGACATGTAGGGTGAGTCCAGCAAAGGGCCATGACTGTGGTGGAAGAATTGGAGCACCTATCCTGGGGGGAGTGGCTGCGGGAGCAGTGGCTGCTGTCTGGAGCAGAAGAAGTTTGGAGAATCCTGTTAACACACAGGCAGAGAGGATGCCAAGAGACCACAGTTTGTCTCTTCCCAGTGGTGCCCAGCGCCAGGATAAAGTGCAATGGGCACAAACTAGGACATAGGAGGTTCCTTTGAACATCAGGAAACAACTTTGTACTGTGAAGGTCAGGCAGTAGCAGAGAATGCCCAGGGAGGCTGTGGAGGCTCCATCCTCGAGGATCCTCCATCCTCGAACAGTCTTGGGCCATGGGCAACTTCCACAGGAGCTGGGCAGGACAGTGCTCTGTGTCTTGACTGCATACAGTGCCCCTGGGCAGAGGCGTGCTTACAGCCCATGTGGGTGCATGCACGCGACTGGGCACGCACAGCACACAGGCACGTGCGCACACACACACGCGCACACACACACACATGCGTACACGTGTGCACAAGGTGAGTGTGCAGGTACCTGCGCGCACCTGCACACACACTTGTGCCCAGTCATGCACGTGAGGGCATATGCATGGGTGCCCAGGAAGAGAGAGTATGGAGTGGGTGTGGCTGTAGCAGGGGCTGCCTAGGATGGGGGGCCAACGGGACAGGAGAGTGCCCTAGACGGGGATGGTACCCGCGATGGGGAGGTCTCAGCGCTGCCCCTCCCACTGTCCTGCCCCGGGGCGGGGCGGGGCCTGTTCGGCGCGGGCCAATCAGCGCCGTGTCCGCCCCGCGCGCGGCGTTAAAGCGGGGCGCGGGGCGGGGGCGGTGCGCGGGATGTGGGTGCGTGTGGTGCTGGCCTGTGGGGTCCTGTGCGCATGCGCGCGCGCCTGGGCCGGCGGGGCCGTGTGCGCGCGGGAGGCGGCGGGCGGGGGCGGCGCGCGCTACGTGGCGTTCCTGGGCCGCGGTACCGGCACCGGCCCCGCGCTGGTCGAGAGCGCCTTGGCCGCCCCCGGCCGCCTTCGCGCCTGCT